AGGTGCGGCCCGGCGGCAGGTGACAGAGGCGACACACTGGTGAACATATTCCCTAAATCCCGGGAATGTGAAGGTAGTGAGACGGTAACCAAAGCTGCTATCCCCCAAGATCAGCAGCATCACCGCCACCATCAACACCTGGTTCCTCTTGGGTCACCACGTCAAGCACCAGCCTCGCCTCCTCCCTCGCTGCCGCACCTCCGTCGTGACCAACCACGGTGTAATTTACTGATTTGGACGAGTCATTACCTGCTCCATCAGCGGGTGTTATTCCACGAGGCTTCCGCGACACGTTGGTGCGGCGCCGAGAGGGAGGCTGACTGGAGGTGAGTCCGTCTCATCTGTCCACAAATACAACACGACACCAGGCAGATGGGAGATGACCCGGAGGCCACACCAGGGAAATAACTTAAATACTGAGCTGGCTACCGGTGCATATAAATGGAGTTTTAAGGTCGGGAGAAAATGCCAGTTATTCGCTTTACAAGGTACGGATTCCAAATAGGTGTTTTATTACTGGCATAAATAGTGGTTGATTGTCTGAGACAGCGGACGGACGCTGCACCTCAGTACAGGTATGGTTCAGCGGATCTCTTCATGGGGATAAACAATGCCATGTTTTGGTATTAATTATCATCAAACGCTTTTATTACCTGCCCACTAGTTGTGCTCCAGGTACGGCGCAAAGCCCACAACATCTTACACACGACGCGGGTATCTGTTATATATCGAGCCATGAAACTAGTCCAGTGGGGAGGGGAGGGGAGGAGGGAGGGAGGGGAGGGGAGGAGGAGGTGGGAGGGAGGGAGGGGAGTCTGCATTATGTGTTTAGACTTATCTGATCCTGCCTGAGATTCTCAAGGCCCTTGAAGTGCAGGACTCCAGGAGGCTATTATGTTATCTCGGACACAGAGACGAGGAAATCGAGGGTGAGTGAGGCTCTTATCTGGTGCCTTCAGAGACCAGCATCACTGGCACGTCGAGATGCTTAGGATCTTTCATCATGTGTGTGTGTGTGTGTGTGTGTGTGTGTGTGTGTGTGTGTGTGTGTGTGTGTGTGTGTGTGTGTGTGTGTGTGTGTGTGTAAAACAAAAATGCACAATTGGCCAAATAAGGCTCAAGTATTTTTATCACAAATACTGGAGGCCATTGTGGGTTACAACTGACCCCCCCTCCCTTCTCCTCTGCTCCTTCTATCCTCTTCCGTCTCTCTTCCCTCCTCCCTATTTCTTCCCACCTCCTCCCTACTTCTCCCATTCTCCTTTCCATCCACTCCCCCTTTCCCCATATCCAGAGGACATTTCACCCACACCCTTCTCTCTGCCCCTCACACGTGACACCATCTTCACTGCTCTCTTCCCTCCTTACCTACCCATCGGTGTGTATGTGTTTTGGGAGGGAGGAGGGGAAGGAGGGGAGGGGGAGGGGAAGGAGGGGAGAAGGAGGATGCATATGATTAGCAAGTCAAAAATAAGGAATCCAACAAGCCGGGATAAATTACTCTTTTCCTTCTTCCTCCTTCTTTCTTATTCCTCCTCCTCTTCCTTCTCCCTCTCCTCCTCCACCCTCTTACCTGCTCTACCTAACATTACCACAACAATTACATTATCCTCTTAACCTGTCTCCTCGCGTCTCATCGAATTTTGGCAGATGTGAAAAAACTTAGTTATTTTTATTTCAGCCAAGGATAGACACTTTTTTTGAAATAGGTGGGGGGTGTGGGGGTAGGTGGGGCGGGGTAGGTGAGGTGGGGGGGTGTGTGGGGGTGGTGGGTGGGTGGAGGGCGGTGGAGGTGGATACTGAATTATTCATGGGTCTTCCGCCACCCACAACACCAGAACAACGACGTGTAATTTACTCTGGGTTTTAAAAGTTGCCTCTGAGAATAGTGGTAGGTGGTGGTGCTAGTGGTGGTAGGTGGTGGTGGTAGTGGAAATGGAAATGAAGGGGGTGGTGAGTGGCGTTGGTGGTGGTAGGAAGTGGTGATAGTGGTATGTGGTGTAATGGTCAGCATGCTCGTCTCGCAAGCGGGTGGACTCGGGTTCGATCCTCGGGCAGGATGAAACTGTGGGCAAGTTTCTTTACGCCATTTGCCTCTGTCTACCCAGCAGTAATTGGGGACCTGGATGTTAATTGTTTTGCGGATCGTGTTCCAGGGTAATGGTTAGCCAGTGCAGTTGGCGAGTTGTCCGGTCTTCTCGGACTATTCATTGGCAATGGGTCATGCAACTCGTTAACTCAGGGTGTTTGTTGTGTTGGCGACAGCTTCTACACCTTAAACAAATTCACGCCTTGGTGGCCCTACGGCCGGCCATCCTCGTCACACGAGGGGCAACCATTAGCGATGGTAATGATGGTAGTGGTGGTGGTGGTGGTGCCAACATTAATTAGGGGTGGTTCATAGCTTAGTGATCACCGTTGCTAACAACCATACCATTACATTTTAAGTTTTCTGCAGGCAGGCAGGCAGGCAGGCAGGCAGGCAGATATGACACCCTCAGCACTTTATGTTTACTTAGTGCTACTTTGACCCGGTACTGTATAGGCACCGATGGCACTACATAATATCACCTATAATAACAACAACAACCACAACGACAACCAACAACAACCACAAGCACAACAACAACCACGACCACAACCACAACCACAACAACAACAACCACAACAACAACAACAACCACGACCACAACCACAAAAAACAACCACAACCACAACAACATCAACCACAACAACAACAACCACAGCAGTTATAAAATATAATCCTTCTTTTCATATTTACTTCATTTCTCCTCACAAGAATAAACTGATAAAATTACCCGTGAAAAAAAATTGAGAAAAAAACAACAATTTTACTGCAAAAGAAAAAAAATATATTGTGTTTAAAGCCGATTTTTTTTCTAGGGAAATTTATTCATATGTTCACGAATTTTGTTTTTACGTTAGTTTGTGGAGAAATAAATCATCTTAAATCCCATATAAATAAAATCGTAAGAGAGTAAATTACTATCGAGAAAAAGAATAAATTAAAAAAATAAATTTTTTTTTTAGTCCAGTTAAATATATATAAAAAAATAAATCGCTGTTTACTCTATGGATGTATATTAAAGGGAATAAATTTACCATCTGATGAAAGAAGAACACGGTAAAGTAAATTTATTCTTTGGGAAAAAAAATTAAAAGACATGTTGAAGATGAATGACTTTTCCGAGACGATAATTCTTCAACAGTTTATTCGCAGCAGGATCCCCCCCCTCCCCCCTCACCCCCCCAAAAAAAATCATATACTCTATGTTTCCAAAAGAATAAACTCTCTTAAAATCTAAAAAAAACACTTAACATAAAACAAATCCAATTCTTCATTAATAATAAAAAAACAGCTTACATATCACTGAATATTGGACCAAAAAACCCCACACAAACCCTTTTTTCTCCTCTTTATTCCAACGACACATCATATAACACACACACACACACACACACACACACACACACACACACACACACACACACACACACACCTCTCTCTACTGTAGATCGGTTTCCAGACATCACAATAGCAGCAGGCTTGGTGAAAAACACTCGATCGACTACGGAAAACCAGACCAGGCGTTTTGTCACTTCCCATCGGAGATATTTGCATATGATTGAGGTCGGTCTGGCCCCACAATTTGGTAAAATTTGATTAGCATACCCTTCAAGTGCATCCCAAACTTGGTCCCGTCGCTGTTCTCACTATTCTTCGGACACCGTGTTGAAGGTTTACGTCTCAGGGTGTAGGGGTGGGGGAGGGCGGGGGGGGTGGGGGGAGGGGTGAGAAGGAAGGTAAGGAAGGTGAGGGGTGGGGTGTAGAAGGAGGAGGGGGAGAGGAGGGAAGGTTAGGAAGAAGGATAAGGAGAGAGGGAGGGAAGAAAGGTAAGGAAGGAGGGGTGGAGTAGGAGAAGGAGGGAAGAGGTGGGCAGGAAGGTAAGAAAGGATAGGAAGAGAAGGAGACGAGAGGGGGGAGGGGGTAGGTGTGCCATCTCCCTTGTTTAAAACCCAAAAGGGAAGAATTCTAATGACTTTCTATGGGGGGGAAGAAAGTCTCCCCATATCCCCTGAGAATCTCTGGGGGAGCGGGGGATAGGGGAGGGGGGGGAGAAGGGAAGGGGGGAATTAAGCATTAAGATATACTATGACTGATCTAAGGGGAGAGTGGTGAAGGTGTTCTGGTGTCCCCCCCCCCCCATACATACCCCCAGAGAGAGGAGATATCGAAGGACAGGAGAGGTTAGGGGGAGGGGGGATATGTCAGGGGGTGTAAAGTAGTGTTGTTGTGAACGATTGTGTGTGGGAAGCGAGCGATGGCTGGAGTGTGTGGAGAGAGTGTGTGATTGTGTGGGGAAGTTCTCTGGTCGGATTTGTCTGTTTCTGTGGGTGTTTTTGTGCTCGTTTGCCGTCACTAGTGTGTGTGTGTGTGTGTGTGTGTGTGTGTTGGTCATGTTATTGTTTGTTATTAATGTTATTATCGTTATTATCATTATTACATTAGTAGTAGTAGTAATAATAATAGTAGTAGAAGTGGTATTATTATTATTATTATTATCATTATTATTATTATTATTATTATTATTATTATTATTTCCTTACTTGGAAATACAAAAGGAAGATTTTATGAATTAATTCCTTCGGCTTTAAACATAAGTCTTCCCCATTGTCATACATTATATAACTAACTCATCCTTGGCTTAATAACCAATTTTCTTTAATTAAATCGTAGTTGTAATTGTCACGGTATAAATGTGACTCCAGCTTGACAAAATACATGGATGTGAGGCCTATTTATACTGAGTCAGAGAGGAGAAAATGGTCAGGTTTAAAATAATTCTGTATATATGTTTGTAATTCATGTACTGTATATATAAATAGAAATATATATTGAATTTTCTTGTTATATAATCCATCTAAATGTATCCATGTATGAGTATTTGTACGTCAGGTATACATAAATAAAACACATATTAGGTTTCCTTAATATATATTTCATGTTACGGTTAGCGAAGGTGTGACAGGTGTGAAGGCTCTTCTAGATGATCACTTGCCGTAACCTAAAGACAAAGACACAAAACTTAAAGAAAAAACCCACACGAAAACAAAGAAAATTCCCATACATAAAACAATCACTTGCAAATATTAACACAAATGTGATCGAAAAGTCCCTGTGCACCTCTATAATTAATAAACGTGATATTTACCTTTTGTTCTCCTTATCATTTTAAGTTATAACAAAGAACAAACTCATCAAAAATACCTATTTATCTATAATAATCAATACCATAATTACTTATATTGTTTTGCTTATAATAATGGAAGTAAAACAAAGAAACAACAATATTATGGATGATCACGGGTGCACAGGGACTTTTTGATCACCCAATGTAAACACGAAGACTTGAGGACTGCGTTTACACATTACATGATAAATGATATAAACTTCCTTCACTTCTGATAATCATCCAGCAGTCAGATCAGTAAAGACAGACACGTGACTGACTATACATAATGATAATGATTTAGTAGTAATAAATAGAAGCAAACAGGTGAGATAAAGGAGAGAGATATGGGAAGAGAGAGAGAGAGAGAGAGAGAGAAAATGAATGAGACAAAACAGAGAGAATACAAGACAAAAGAGAGAGAGAGAGAGAGAGAGAGAGAGAGAGAGAGAAACCAAGAAAGAACGAGTGAGAGAGATAAAGAGAGGCAGAAAGAAGCAAAGAGAGAGATAGAGAGAGAGAGAAATACAGTGAGATAGTTCCCTTGGTGCATTCCTACAGTTTTTCTCGCCTGACGCCGCCACTGCCCCTTCCCCCAACCCTCCTTTGACATGCATACCGTCAGTGACCTGGGCAGGAGGCGCTCCACATCTTCAGCAATGCGACACCCAATACGCGTTCTGGCCCTCACCTTCCCTGACTACGAGCGACCCATTCACCCCACCTCCTGATGCTCTCAATGACGACCTATTATGGTGGTTTCTGAGTGGCCAATACCAGCGAGAGATTGGCCAATACTAAATGATGACCCAATATGACTGATTCTGAGTGGTCAATACCAGCGAGAGATTAGCCAAATTTCGACTGATTTATCTTAACACACACACACACACACACACTAAAATGACACTTCTATTCATCTTTCCTCCAGTGATTCATTTCTCCATTGCAGTATCTCACCTCCCTCATTATCTCACCGTCTCTCACCAAGAAACTGAGGCAAGGCACAACCTGTTCCTTCTCCTCCTTCCTCTGTTTTACCATCAATAGTGTGTGTGTGTGTGTGTGTGTGTGTGTGTGTGTGTGTGTGTGTGTGTGTGTGTGTGTACATTCCTACCATACCATCCCTAATTAAGCTACAACCATCATGTTTGCTACACCATTGGCTAATCACACCCCAGCATTTCCAACAATATTTTTAATAATATTTATCAAGAGTATATTTTGTAACATTGAGATTACCTGTAATAACTGTAATACCTGTAATATTTATCTCCATTGTATTACAGGTAACATGGTAGCGTGTAACTATTAATTCAATCAATATTCGTTTGTTTCTCCACCGACTTGAGTTCGAGCGGGTAAACAAAGAAGTCAAATCAATATCTAAATTAATTTTATATTATCGTTTGTTGCGTCAATGGTTTCATATATTACTTAATAATTAATAAATGTCGTAAATAATCGTTGTTCCAGACAATTGAATTACATTTTCTTAAATTTTATGGCGAGCATTTACATCGTCTGAGATCCTGAAGTAGCGGGGAAGTAAGCAATGTGTGTGTGTGTGTGTCAGTACAGCCAAAGCGGGTATCTGTTATTGGTAATGATGACTCCACTGTTGGTTGAGATTGACGTTACTTTGTGAGAGTGTACATTGTGTTTAAGATGGTAATAAAGTTAGTAAATTAGTAAGCTAGTTAGTGAATTAGTTTGTTAGTTAATAATAATAACAATAATAATAATAATAATAATAATAATAGTAATAATAATAATAATAATAATAATAATAATAATAATAATAATAATAATAATAATAATAATAATAATATCATTACCTCCACCGTGGGAACCTCCGAGGCCAATCCTTAGTCCAGGTCCTCCTCCGATGTCTGAGTAACCTCCATGGCCTCCAGAGCCTCCGTAGAAGCCTCCACCGAAGCCTCCGCCGCCGCCGCCACCGCCGCCACCGCCATAGCCTCCGAAGCCTAAGCCATAGCCGCCTCCCCCCAAGCCGGGATGAGCCTCAGCTAGGGCCAACACTACCAGAGCTGCTAGGGCTAGGAGCACCTGCAGTGGGTGAAGGAGGTGGTGAGGGGGACGGGAGGTGGTGAGGGGGAGGGGAGGTGGTGAGGGGGAGGGAGGTGGTGAGGGGGAGGGAGGTGGTGAGGGGGGAGGGGGGAGGGGGGGGGGGTGGTGAGGGGAGGAGGTGGGAGGGGGGGAGGGGTGGGAGGGGGGGAGGTGGTGAGGGGGGTGGGAGGGTGGGGAGGGAGGGGGTGGGGGGGGGAGGGGGAGGGAGGTGGTGAGGGGAGGGGGGAGGGGGGGGAGTGTGAGGGGGAGGGAGGGGTGGTGAGGGGGGAGGGGTGAGGGGAGGGAGGTGGTGAGGGGGAGGGAGGTGGTGAGGGGGGGGAGGTGGGTGAGGGGGAGGGAGGTGAGGAGGGGGGGGAGGTGGGTGAGGGGGGGTGGTGAGGGGGGTGGTGAGGGTAGTGAGGAGGTGAGGAAGTGAGGGAGGTGGTGAGGGTAGTGAGGGAGGTGGTGAGGCAGGTAGAGGTGGTGAGGGAGGTGAGGGAGGAGGGAGGTGGTGAGGCAAGTGGTGAGGCAAGTAGTGAGGGAGGTGGTGAGGCAAGTAGTGAGGGAGGTGGTGAGGCAAGTAGTGAGGGAGGTGGTGAGGCAAGTAGTGAGGGAGGAGTGAAGGTACATATATAATCCTTATAATCAACACAATTAAATATATCTAACAGTAACATATATTTTACCATAAGATAACACTATAAAGATCTGTTCCAATAAACACCTAATATATTTCACATTATATATATTATACCTTGAAATATATCTGTCAGCGTTATCAGTATTTCTCAGCTGAATAATGAGAAAGGAATATATAAGAGAGAGAGAGAGAGAGAGAGAGAGAGAGAGAGAGAGAGAGAGAGAGATATATACATAGCACTAATACAACCAAACTATAATATCTCTCTCTCTCTCTCTCTGTGTCTGTCTGTCTGTCTATCTCTCCCACTCTGTCTCTCTCCCTCTCATTCAACTTTCCCCTTTTTGTTGATGTTGTTGGTCGTGTGTGTGGTCGGGAAAAGGTGTTAATTAAATTGTTTAAAACCCAACTCGATTAATGATGAAAAAACAACACAAAAAACAAAACAATGGGGAACTATCAAATCAACGCTGAGTATTACATAATATTTGTGTAAAAAATTATCCTGTGAGCCGGAGAATGTTTGGTGTGAGGGATATTGATAGATAAACAACAATTTGAAAGTCAGATTCCTAGTTCACGGCTTCTACACGAGGACATTTTTTTTTTATTCTGCTGTTGGAAATTTGCGTCGAGCTCAGCCAAACATTTTCCAAATTAAATGTGTCAATAACAAGAAACAATTGATGCAAAAAACATATATATATTTATTTGTTATCGCCCTCCCCCCTCCTCTCGTCACTATATACCTGCTATATTTAAAGATATACAGGACCTTTTTATTTATATACAATACTGATATATATACTGTATATATAGAACCAGTGAAATAATGGTAATATAATTTTAAGATATCACATTAAGGTCTATTATAACGAAATCTTTTATAGTAATCTTATAAAAAATATTTCTTCAGAGAGATATTATATTAGTTAAGACATATTAGTTTGGGTAATATTCCCAGCACAGAAAGTCTTACAAATATAGTATATATTTTATCCCTATATATCAAGATATATTAAAGTAGTGGTGATATATTTGAGTCACTGAGATGTCTTATATCACCGGCGCTACAGTGATGATGTATTTAATAGTGAAGTATTTTATATAATGACTTGTTAGTGAAGACATGATGTTATAGCTTTCTTGTGAGTCCATCTCTTGTATTATTCATGTGTAAGTGTTAAGATACACTTAAGTACATGAATTCTAAGTGTGTGGATATATTAAAACGTATCATATATAAAATACTAAGTAAATAAAAAAAAATTCTTGTCTTAAAACGTCCCCAAAATCTATAGTAAGAGTAGAGTTAATTCCTTTATAATTCACCTTCTCGTTACTAAACTTACAATCCTGGTTATCATGATGGAGAGCAAGGCTGGAGGTGTTGCACCCACGGAGGCTTGAAGTCGACTGGCTTTTGAACAGCTGATCCCGCCGCTATATATACCTGCACATAAGACCTGGCCGCCACACCCAGGAGTCCACGTAACAATAACATGAGTTGAGTTGGGAGAGAAAGGGAGAGAGAGAGGGAGGAGGGAGGGAGGGAGGAGGGAGGAGGGAGGGGGGGAGGGTGACAGTGCCTACCTACAATCCCTTAACACCTACATAAACACATGGCGGAGGGGGGGGGGAGAGGAGAGTGGTGACACATTATCGAAAACAACAACACGTGAATATCCAATTTTTTGAGTCGTGTTAAATCAGCCGAATTTGTTTTTTCCTCCCTACCTTCACTGACCTGACCGATGGATGCAATAAGATCAACAATTTAACTGGGATTAAGGATGACATTCCATACTGTATAAATACCTCCCCCCCCACAAAAAAAGTCCTTAGAGAAGTGAAGATATAGAAAGAACTTTTAACTGAAGGAAAAATGCTTTTGTCTTTTCAATATTCCGGGGCCGTAGAGACCAGGTGCTTGTATTGAAGAAGTTGCAAATCTGTGTGTGTGTGTTTATTGTGTTAGAAGGAGAGCCGAGCGGAATATATTACATCTACCTCCCTGTTTACCTGAGGCTGGTGTGTGCTGGAGGCTGTGTTCATCTCTGTCACTTAAGATGTAACAGATGGTGATGTGTGTTGATGCTGGTGTGAGTGAAATAAAAAAAAAATAATTAAGTAATGATATTCGTTTCAAGCCAAGCCAAGCCAAGCCAAACCTTCCTGATATTATTATAGAGATTATAATAAGTTATCGTAAGAGTTATTACATAATTTATTCATAGTATGTATTATAGCCCAGATAATAATGATCTTTAATTATCACACTAGAAAAAAACAGTTTTAAGGCAAAAATATTACTTTGGTATAACATTGACATTATTTTCGGAAACAGTTGATTAAATGTATATACAGGTATGCAATGGAATGGGTAAATAGACATTAAAACAGATATGTATAGACTTGAAGTAATACATGTATACATAACTAAATATACAGTATATACACTTAACCAGGTACAGTCCCCTTCACTAGTGCGTTTACAGGGCCTCGTCAGGATTTGTGCAGTGTGGCAGCACTGTCTTTGTTTACATTCGACAGAAGGAAACTCACAATAGTAAAAATACTATAGAATCAAATTAAAACAATATTAAAACAAATATCTCAATGATAATGATTTGTGGAATGTTTATATGAGGAGCCCCTGTAAACGCACTAGTGAAGGGAACTATACATTCACAGGTACAACTTATATTTTCACTTAAAACACTTACATAAACACTTTACTAAATACAAATACCACTTGTTGAAACATTTTGTTGTGTGAACAGTATTATTGGACTTGGTAATACTTAAGGTGTTGCGTTTGAGTTGGTAATACTGGATGATAAGAAAATGCATCGAGTTTGTTGTCTCTTTGTCGTGTTGTTGTTGTTGTTGTTGTGTTGGTTAGTCTATAGGGATCACCTGAATATTAGACACCCTCACTCTACCTGGGAGTTAGGTTAGGTTAGGTTAGGTTAGACCCTAGCCATGAAAGTGTGTGTGTGTGTGTGTGTGTGTGTGTGTGTGTGTGTGTGTGTGTGTGTGTGTGTGCGTGCGTGTGTGTGTGTGTGTGTGTGTGTGTGTGTGTGTGTGTGTGTGCGTGTGTGTGTGTGTGTGTGTGTGTGTGTCCGCTACACCTGCTCACTGCTTTAGAACCATTGTCTCCTTGTCTCGTGCCTACTGGAGGAGACACATGGAAAAGGCCCTCCGTCACCTGCCTATTGAAGGAACACAATGACCAGGTAGTGTGTGTGTGTGTGTGTGTGTGTGTGTGTGTGTGTGTGTGTGTGTGTGTGTGTGTGTGTGTGTGTGTGTGTGTGTGTGTGTGTGTGATTATGTGCATGAACACAGATCAATGGTATTGTATTTGCATGACTGTATGAATGACTGCCTCTCCGCCTTGTCTGTCTGTCTGTCTGTCTGTCTGTCTGTCTGTCTGTCTGTCTTTGTCTGTCTGTCTGTCTTTGTCTGTCTGTCTGTCTATGTTCTATCTGTCTACCTTGCGTTCCTGTTTCTATGTTTGTGTGATTGTTTACATCCTAATTGTTTGTCAATGTTCCTACCTCTCAGACTCTTCTCACTCTGTTTACTTTTCTACCTGTTTTGCTGTTTACTTCCCCAGCTGTTTACCTGTTAACGGGAGGACAGTTAACGTTCTCTAGTGTTTACACCTGCTTGTAATGTCTGCTTGAGAAATGTACAAACACTTTGTCACTGAATACTGAGACACCTTTGTGTTTGGGGGAGGAAAAGAGAGAGAGAGAGAGAGAGAGAGAGAGAGAGAGAGAGAGTCACTTCTCAACATACCTCTACATTCTCTAAAGCATTTACTTGAGAATTTCTAAAGTTCTCAATAATACAAGTGACAATTCCTTCCTTCTACCTTACTGTTGTCTGCTGGACCACAACAATTGTCTTTTCACCTCTCTCTTTATCTCTCTCTCTGTCTCTCTCTGTCTCTCTCTGCAGTCTTTTTGTCAACAGGTAGAGAACCATGACCAGGCAGGGCTATATAAGAGAGAGGTGGCCCCGTTCCTAACCAGTCTCCAGCAGTCAGTCAACGAAGTCACACCCACACACACATATACCTCTACCACCCACCCTCTCTACACCCTCTTACACCCTCGTCTTATAACAATAATGAAGTCTGTGAGTCTTACATACGTTTTTGTCTTGAATTTTTACAGTAATCTTTCTTTAAAAAAAACTGTGCTTTTTTTCGTGTTTAGGAAGTTTGTGTTTGTTTGTGTTTGTTTGTTTGTTTTTCTAAGGGTGTATCTATGGGTGGTGTTTGTTTTTTGAGGTCAAGATCTTAAGGTGAGGTTTTTCTTATGCTAGGTCATGTATTATAATGTTTTGGAGGCTCATATTGACCTCTAATTCATTCCTCATTCTAGGTCACCTTATCTCCCCCATTATAGGTCATCTCTCCTCACTTCAGGTCACATCCTCTTTCTCCAGGTCACCTCCCCTACCCAGGTCACCCTAACCTCTCCCTCACTCCAGGTCATCTCCCCTCCCTCACACCAGTCTCTCTCTCTCCCTCACACCAGTCTCTCTCTCCCTCACACCAGTCTCTCTCTCTCCCTCACACCAGTCTCTCTCTCCCTCACATCAGTCTCTCTCTCCTTCACAGGTGGCAGCAGCGGTGGTGGTGGTGGCACTGGTGACGGTCTTAGCCACAGTTCAAGCCTCACCTGGCGGCCTCGATGCCTACGGGAACGGCGTCGGGGGCGGCTTCGTCGGTGCCTCCGTCGGGTATGGCTACGACGGAAACCACGGCGGTGAAGGAGGCTTTGGAGGCCACTACGGAGGTCAGGGCTACGGCGGGGCTTACGGCGGCTTTGGAGGTTACGGAGGTGGGAACTATGGGGGAGGCTACGGTGGAGGCTATGGCGGCGGAGGCTTTGGTGCTTACGGTGGCAGCATCGTCGGCAGTCGAGGCTCTGGTGGAGGCGGTAATGGGGGTGAGTTATAGGACAGACAGACAGATAGACGGACAGACAGATAGACAGACAGAAAGATAGACAAATAGATAGACAGACAGGCAGATAGAAACAACAGATAGACAAATAAATAGACAGGCAGACAGAAAGAAAAGAGACAGAGAGACAGGCAGGGAGACATAGACTGTTTTTTGTGTATATATATAGACACCGTTTATATAGTTTTAATACATACATACATACATACATACATACATACATACATACATACATACATACATACATACATACATACATACATACATACATACATACATACTATACCTACATATTCATAATCTTCATATTAAATCAACAAAAAGTTATCCATACCCACTAATTCATCTCTCTTCCCCAGGTTACGGTCACTAGCGGTCAGGAAGAGATTACGGTCACTAGCAGCGGTCAGGAAGATGGCCGTCTCTTCAACATGCACATAACTTGACAACTCAATACGAAATAAATATTATTTAAAAGAGATTATCGTTGAAATTTGTCTTGGCCTCTGTGGGGGGGGGTGAGGGGGAGAGGGAGGAGGAGGGTGAGGGGGAAGGGGGGTTAGGAAAGGGAGGGGGGAGGGGAGGGTAAATGTTTGACCACCAACAGAGTGATATTAATGGACAGGTGTGTTGGTCAGGTTAATTAAGTGTTTGGGAAGGTATTTTCACTTTAATTGTTGTAGTAATAATAGTATACCTGTATTTTAGGATACAAATTACAGGTACAGAAGCAGGTTACAGGTACAGAAGCAAGTTACAGGTACAGAAAAAGGTTACAGGTACAGAAAAAGGTTACAGGTACAGAAACAGGTTACAGGTACAGAAACAGGTTACAGGTACAGAAGAAACACAGGTTACAGGTACAGATTACAGGTACAAAAACAGGTAGGTACAGGTGCAGAGAAGCAGGTTACAATAATAATAATAATAACTAATAATGATGATGATGATGATGATGACTACTACTACTACTACTACTACTACTACTACTACTAATAATAATAATAATAATAATAATAATAATAATAATAATAATAATAAACAGTTTATTGAAAGAACATGGCAGCTAAAAGGTTGAAAATTGCAATGAACAAAGATGATAAAATTTACATATGGTGAGTCGGCGGAGTGAGTCGGGGAGTGAGTCGGGGAGTGAGTAGGGGAGTGAGTCGGGGAGTGAGTCATGGAGTGAGTCACTTGATTGAGATAAGCTTTCAGTACAAAACAGGAATGAAACATGAAGTGTACCCTGCCAGCACACACACACACACACATACACACACACACACACACACACACACACACACACACACGCACTGACCATCACCACGACCTCATCTGCAAATTTGGTGAGAAGCTTCTGCACCATCCTCGACACCGGCTCCTAGTACCACCTGAGATCCCTCGCCCGAGAATTGCTGTTCGACACCACAACCGCATCCAACCCATACGAGCACGAACTGATCCCTATAAGAACAGCCCAGTCCCAACCATTGTAAAACTTATCAATAACTTGTAATCAACCAGTGTATTCACTCCCAGTAAATACTACTTCTTGCACTGTCACTATGTTGAAATGCCCTGCAGTTTGACCTTCTCCCCATCTAGTTATTATATATCATATTTGTATCACTTATGTTACTTGTATATTATTTGTAAATCAAGAGACCCATTCCCCAATTATGTAACTGTATATTTTCAGCCTTCCGGCTGCCATGCTCTTTCAATAAACCGTGAATAATTATTATTATTATTATTATTATTATTATTATTATTATTATTATCACACACACGCACACACACACACACACACACACACACACATATCCTCCACTCAGTCTTAACTATGACCTAAAACCACAAAGTAACAATTACGATAAATAAAATATAATGACTAAGAACAAGTAAATAATAGCCAATAATAGCCAAAAATAGACAATAATAGCCAGAAATAGACAATAACAGACAATAATAAACAATAAGACAAAAATAAACAATATAAACAATAATACTATTAATAAACAAAAATACTGAAGAAAATGAAGCGATTTAGTGTTTATTGAAATAAAAAAAATGATAAAATTGAGAGAATATTTAATTTTTTCTTTTTTTTCTTTTTTTATATCAAGAAAAAAAATCAATTTTTCCTTTTCACAGATAATTTCCTTATTGGAATTTACATATAATGATAAACTTACACTGGGGTCATGATATAGAGACCAGCAGTGGCAACGAACACAAGACGTGGTGGATAAGGGAAACAAAATAAGATCTATTATGTAAAGCGTTTATTATTATTATCAGTTCCTTATAAGCAGGTGGTGATGTAGTGCCGTTGATCATCCTTACCGCCCGATACCGTAACCTGGGGAAGGGGAGGGGGAATGGGAGGAAGGAAGGGGGGAAGGAGGAAGAGGTAGAAGAGTAGGAGGAAAGTAGGAAAGGAGGAGGGGAGTGGAAGAAGGAAGGAAGAGGATAAGAGAGAGAGAGAGAGAGAGATCAACTGATGAGGAATTCACTAAACATACAAAAATATCCAATCATTATATAAACACTTTCTTATTTTATTGTATCTTGATGTTTATATCTTTAAACACATAAAACATTTGTATCTAAACATTTCAATATTCTCAGATCATAAACATTCTCATAATTAATATATATCTATAAAAAATTAAACATCTAAACATTTGTCTATATTTTTTCGTTCTTAAGAAATATCTAACTATATCTGGAATGTTTACTCTCAACAACTAAAGTTTAATGTAATGATGTTAATAAATGTTTAATACACCAATTTAACTTTTCTACGGTGATTAAAACTGGATAAAAAATGTTTAATTCGATCTAGTGTTTATTTTATTTACAGTCTAATGTTAAATGATGTTAAAACTCATTTATCCTGATGTTTATAATGATGACTCCTGAGTTAGTGTTTACCTTCGATGTTTATTAAAATATTATACCTAAACATTGAGTTTTAGATAATCCTAATAATTCTCTATAATTCTTAAAAGTTCATAAGTATTATTTTACGACGTCTGGGTGTATGGTCTATCTATCTATCTATCTATCTATCTATCTATCTATCTATCTATCTATCTATCTATCTGTAACTTACTGTTGTACCCTGCAGTACCGCCTCCACCAGTACCGTGTCCGAACCCGGTATAGGCGCCTCCGAACCCGCCAGTGTACCCGCCATTGTACCGTGGACCCGGATAGTACCCCCCGCTGTACCCGCCGTACCCATGAGAGCCTCCGGGTACAGCCTGGACCATACCCAGGACCATGAGGGCCACCACGACCACCAAAAGCTGTAGGGGAGGAGAGAGGGGTGAGGGGAGAGATGAAGGGGTAGAGAGGGGTGAGAGGGGAGGTGTTAGGAGTGAGGTGAGGGAGGTAGTGAGGTTGAAGGGAAAGAGGGAAGAGAGAGGGGGTGAGGGGTGAGGAAGATTATGACAGGTGAAGAAGATAATGACAGGTGAGAAAGATCATGACGGGTGAAAAAGATAGTGACAAGGTGAGGAAGATTTTGACAGGTGAGGAAGATAATGACAGGTGAGAAAGATCATGACGGGTGAAAAAGATAGTGACAAGGTGAGGAAGATTATGGCAGGTGAGGAAGATTTTGACAGGTGAAGAAGATAATGACAGGTGAGAGAGATGCCTAATCTTACTCAATGACAGAACTTACAGAACCTAATTACAAGAACCTTATATACTTAGTCATTATAGAACCTTATGGACTTAGTCATTATAGAACCGTAAATACTCAGTCATTATAGAACCGTAAATACTCAGTCATTATAGAACCGTAAATACTCAGTCATTATAGAACCTTATATACTCAGTCATTATAGAACCTTATGGACTTATTCATTATAGAACCTCAGACCCTCAGTGATTATTAGAACTCACAAACTTAGTCATTATATGGAGGAGAGGAGGAGCAGAGCAGTCAGGTGTTGTGGCTGCGACGACGGGCGGATGTAGAGTGGCGCTGCGGCTGTTTCTCTCCTCCTTTATATACCCATGGCTAGCTTCCCTCCCTCTTTCCTTCCCTCCTTCCCTCCTTCCCTCCTTCCTTCCTTCCTTCCTTTCCTCTTGCTGCCCTCCCACCAAAACAAAGCAAAGAGTGACGTCACTAACAAAGTGCAGGGATGAAAAATAAAGAGAGTTGTCATTGGTGGGGGAGAAATAATACCATTGGTAGGGAAAAAATTGTGTTGTCATTGTTGAAAGCTAAGAATGTCATTGTTTGGGTGGGGGTTAAATTGTGTTTGTTTGTAGTGATTGATACGAGCCAAGCAATGGTGTGTCTTTGTTGTCTTTGCTGTGACTTAACAGATTGTAAAGAAAAAGACAAAAAATAAATAAAAATGTTGCTCCGATAAAAATTGCAGAACGTGACAGTTCTTTTCAACACTTTTCGTCAAGGATTTACTCCGAGAATTCAAACTAACTTAACAAACAAGAACAGAGAGTAAATTACGTGATACAGGTTAGGTTAGGTTAGGTACCAATGAATTAAACAAGAGTCGACGTTCCATTACGACAGAACAGCAGCACACCCAAACTCCTAAACTGATGTAGCAATTGCCAGACAACTTGAAAAAAGTAGCTATAGCACAGGAGGTTGGCGCCTCGAACGGGCTAACAACGTTACCGATAAGGGCAAAGGTTTCAGCCTTAACAAACAAGAATTTAAAAATGCCATTGCTCTAAGGTACGGTAGGCCAGTCGAAGGTTTGCCCTCCCAATGCATGTGTGGTTCACCTTACGACATCGACCATGCAATGGCGTGTAAGAAAGGGGGCTTCGTGTGCATGAGGCATGACGAAGTAAGGAATCTCACAGCAAATATGTTGAAGAAATCTGCCACGACGTCACGGTGGAACCGCCCCTCCTTCCATTGGACGGTGAGAACCTCCATCACAGGATCATCCAACACATCCAACGAACCCGTGTGGACGTAAGTGCTCCAGGATTCTGGAATCAAGGACAGCGACCCTTATTTGATATCAGAATATTTGACCCCCTGGCCGCATGTCACCGTAACCTATCTCTCGAGGCTGCACACAGGAGGAACGAGAATGGCAAGAACAGGGCGTAATTGCAGAGAATGTGGATCAGGGCAGCTTCACTCATCTGGTGTTCACAACCTATGGCGGGATGGGACCAAGTGCAAGATGTTTCTACGCCAGACTGGCGGAGGTGTTGTCTGAGCAGAACAGCAGCCCAGAAGCCACGTAGCAGCATGTTGAGATGTCGACTGTCCTTCTCTCTGATTAGGTCTGCTTTCCTCTGCCTCAGGGGAACGAGAGCATCGGCCCCAAAGCCGACAACAGTCGCAATTAATGACTATGAGGCAACAGTCACTGAATGCTGCATAGATCTGCGGCTTAACTAACTCAACACAGCTAGGATAGGTACTTATGTATTAGGATATTTAATTTTTAAGACATTAAAATGAGGTAGTAGTAGTAGTAGTAGTAGTAGTAGTAGTAGCTGCATTTTACTATCCTTTGAAATAAATATTAAACTAATTTAATCCGCCCATGACAAAATCACACATACTTTACAAACATCAATATCCGTTTTGACCTCCTGACTCACTGGATGACCCCAAGAAGGTCATAACCATGGTCAAAAGTCACCCCCATCATCGCCCTCGACTCCCCCTGCAGGAAATTTTAACTGAAGGAGGCACTTATGAGGTCATTTGTCACGAGGTCAACAGATCACGAGGTCAAAGGTCACGGGCTCATGAGTTTATAAGATGATATACAAAACACAATTATCATATTTCTATTCTTCATTATCTACTATTGTTATTGTTTCTCTTTCACACACACCTCTTTTATTCTTTCATTCCTTGCCCCCCACCCCCCCTTCTTCCTCCCTCTCCCTCTCTCTTTTGTAAGGTTGGAGGAGTGAGGGAGGGAAGGGAGGGATAGCCAGAGGGTATATAAGAAGCTTCAACACCCCTCGACCGCCATTAGGAAGCTGAAGACAGTCACGGAAGCACCTCTCTCTCTCTCGCCTTAATCATGTGGGCTAAGTTTGTACGTAAATATTAGTGTGTTATAGTTTACCTACCGTCCCTACCTATAATGATCCCCCTCACCTTTCATCATTCTCCTCACCCATCATCATTCCCTCACGTTTCATCATTACCCTCATCCCTCACTATTTCCCTTCACCCCTCATCAACTCCTTCACCTATCATCAACCCCCTCACCTCTCACTATCCCCCCCCTCAGCTCCCACCATCCCACTCACCCCCTCACCTCTCACCATCCCCTCACTCCCCTCAGATGATGGTGATGATGGTGGCGGCTCTGGTGATTCTGGCCACAGCTGAGGCGGCTCCTGGTTACCTTGGTGGCGGCTACGGTGGGGGCCAAGGCGGCTTTGGCGGCTACACAGGTTATGGAGGTTATGGAAGCGGTTTCAATTCGGGCGGCCACGGTAAGGCTTCAGTGACTCTCTCTCTCTCTCTCTCTCTCTCTCTCTCTCTCTCTCTACAAATTCATTCATTTACTTTATTTTGTTCCCCGAGTAAGTGAGAAATTTGTTTTAAATATCGTAACTTCAATTAAAATTCAAGAAATATTCGGATTAATTCTCTAAGTTCCGATTAATGACTGATTCTGCCGGATGTAAGCCTCGTTCAAACACACACACACACACACACACACACACACAATAAGAACACCCTCCCTCACACCTGTCTCCTCCTCCTCCAGGTTACGGCAGATAAGACACCTGGGCCGCCCTCCTCACCTGACCAGCTCACCTGTACGTCTTCTTAATTACAAATAAATTCATTAAACGCATTTGTAACTCTGTTATTATCCTACTCTTAAAATAAAATGCTAAGTGAAAATAAACTTAAATCGTACTGACTATAGAAACAAAAATGAACGCTGTATATACTGTAGAATTTTGTAGATCAACATTTAGCCCAAAAAACATCATCCCGGTTTATTTGTTGTAGTAAGGTGGTCACTGTAGTAAGGTGGTCACTGTACTAAGGTGGTCACTGTGTAATAAGGTGGTCACTGTAGTAAGGTGGTCACTGTAGTAAGGCGGTCACTGTAATAAGGTGATCACTGTGTAATAAGGTGGTCACTGTAGTAAGGTGGTCACTGTAGTAAGGTGGTCACTGTAGTAAGGTGGTCACTGTAGTAAGGGTGGTCACTGTAGTAAGGTGGTCACTGTAGTCAAGTAGTACACTGTAATTAAGGTGGTCACTGGTCACTGTAGTAAGGTGGCCTCACTGTAGGTGGTCAAGGTGTCACTGTAGTAAGGTGGTCACTGTAACAAGGTCACTGTAGTAAGGTGGAATTACTGTAGTAAGGGGTCACTGTAGTAGTGGTCACTGTAGTAAGGTGGTCACTGTAGTAAGTGGTGTCACTGTCACTGTAGTAAGGTGATCACTGTAGTAAGGTGGTCACTGTAGTAAGGTGGTCACTGTAGTAAGGTGGTCACTGTAGTAAGGTGGTCACTGTAGTAAGGTAGTGACTGTAGTAAGGTGGTCACTGTAGTAAGGTGGTCACTGTAGTAAGGTAATCACTGTAGTAAGGTGGTCACTGTAGTAAGGTAGTCACTGTAGTAAGGTAGTCACTGTAGTAAGGTGGTCACTGTAGTAAGGTGGTCACTGTAGTAAGGTGGTCACTGTAGTAAGGTGGTCACTGTAGTAAGGTGGTCACTGTAGTAAGGTGGTCACTGTAGTAAGGTGGTCACTGTAGTAAGGTGGTCACTGTAGTCAGGTGGTCACTGTAGTAAGGTGGTCACTGTAGTAAGGCGGTCACTTAGTAAGTGGTCACTGAAGTAAGGGAGTCACTATAGTAATTATTGTGATACAGCTGTAGTGGAGAAAAGTAGGTGCAATTATCTATCTATCTAATTATCTATCTATCTATCTATCTATCTATCTAATTATCTATCTATCTATCTATCTATCTATCTATTTTACTAATTTTCCTTTTTTCCTATGGAGTGCATCAAGGCGTATTGTAACCAAAGTTAAAGAAGAGGAGAGGAAGAGGGGGAAGAGGAAGAGGGGGAAGAGGGAGAGGAAAAGGAAGAGGGAGAGGGGGAAGAGGGAGAGGAAGAGGGAGAGGAAGAGGGGGAAGAGGAAGAGGGGGAAGAGGGAGAGGGAGAGGAAAAGGAAGAGGGAGAGGGGGAAGAGGGAGAGGAAGAGGAAGAGGAAGAGGAAGAGAGAGGAAGAGGAAGAGGAAGAGGAAGAGGTAGGAAGAGGAGGTAATTAGCAGACGAGACAGGTAGAAAACTACAGGTAAATAATTAATCAAATCTTCACTCTCCACAAACATAATCAATACACGTGTGTTTTGCCACTCACGGTAGGCACTGGGTCAGGTAGGTACTGGACCAATGAGATTCTCTATTACTGGAACCTGATTTTTTTCATTGGTTCATAGGTTCATCATTTTATGGAAATAGTATGAATCATCATCATCATCATCATCATCATCATTATCATCATCATCATCATCATCATCATCATCATCATCATCATTATCATTATCATTATCATCATCATCATCATCATCATCATTTAATAAACAATGGGAGAATAATAATACTTCAGGTACATTTTATGAATATATTTATAATTAAGAAGACGTACAGGTGAGCTGGTCAGGTGTGGAGGGCGGCCCAGGTGTCTTATCTGCCGTAACCTGGAGGAGGAGGAGACAGGTGTGAGGGATGGTGTTCTTGTGTCTGTCTGCCTGTCTGCCTGTCTGTCTGTCTGCCTGTCTGTCTGTCTGTCTGTCTGTATGTGCATCCGTATGTTAATTTATATATATCCATTCAATATATATATGAACATTATTAGAGAGAGGAGGTAAAAATATTATTATCTATATTACCATAACCTCCTCCATAGCCTCCATATCCGCCACCGTAGCCGCCACTGTAGCCGCCACCATATCCGCCACCGTGGCCGCCACCATAGCCGCCACCGTAGCCGCCAACATAGCCAGGAGCCGCCTCAGCTGTGCCCAGGAACACCAGAGCCGCCACCACCATCATGACCTGAGAGAACCGTACAGTGTGAGGGGTGAGGGAGGTGGTGAGGGGTGAGGGAGGTGATGAGGGATGTAGTGGGGGGTGAGGGAGAGAGTGAGAAGTGAGGGAGGTGATGAGATATAGTGAGGGAGACGGTAAGATGTGGTGAGGGGGAGGTTGAGGGATAAGGTGTGGTGGTGAGAGGTGAGGGAGGTGATAAGGGGTGAGGGAGGTGGTGTAGGGGTGAGGGGGAAAGGTGAGGGAGGCAATGAGATGTGATAGAAGTGATAGATGAGAGATGAGAGACGACAAAACTCACAATCTTAGCCCACATGTCTGCTGAGAAAGAAGTGAAATGAAGTGATGCCTAACACACTCTGACCATCGCCTTATATACCGCAAGACACTCGAAAAACACACTTGAGACGTGCAGGGGAGACTTCCAATAACACGTGAACACAAAAGAGAACACGTGAACACAATACAGGTCACGTGAACACAATATACAACGAGAATTTTGTTGTGTTGATGATTGTATTGTCACCACCTACACCGTTCACCTGGGCTAATTAGTACAGTAGGTCGACTTAGAATGTACTGGACCTGAAGTTACCTGGTGGTACTCTTACGTGTACTAGAGGGTGATGTGTACTGTTGTAGATGTACTCTTATACGCTTCACCGTGTAAATATTACTCAAAATAACATAATCACACCTGTAACTTCTTGTAATTACCTAGTCTGTTAATTAATTATTTACCTGGGCTTAGATTTTTAAAGTATCTTACGTTGTGTTCACCTGACTAGAAACATTCAATCATAAAGTATCTAAGTGTTAGTAAGTGTATTTAAACCATTTATAAATATTTAGAAGTGTTTCATTTGGTCATTTTTTAACACTTAACATAATCAAGGTGTTACTACAATTAATCACTATTTTTATACAACTTACACTTCAATTTACACTTATGTTAACTTACAGAATGGTGTATTACTAACCTATGTACTGTGTATACTGACAGGGAGTTGCATGTCAGACTGTATTGCAGGATCAAGACATATTGCATGATCAAAGGTGTACCCACTTCCAGTCATACAATGCATGAACGTGTGTGAATGGCCACGGTATTGTTTTCCTATCAATGAGTTAGTTACCATGACAACCCCTCCGAGCATGGGTTTGTTTACTGTTGGCGGTGTGGGTGACGGGGAGTGAGTATATAAACCCTGGCGGTGCTTGCTGGAGACATCAGTTGGGCTTCATCTCTCGAGACGTCAACAACACAGCTCCTATTCAACATGTGGACTAAGTTTGTAAGCATAGAGAGATTTATTTATCAGTCTAGTTAGAAATTGGGAGTTTCTAGTGAGCTAACTGTAAATTGGGTGTTATTTTGGGGTTAGCTGTAAATTGGGAGTTTTTTAAGAGGGTTAGCTGTAAATTGGGAGGTTTTTTTTACAGTGGTTAAGATTAAGATAGTAAATAATTGTTGTTTACTGCACATTTTGAGTTTGTTTTTCAATATTTTAATTTTTTTATCTCCTGTTATTCTAATTTTCTTCTCTATTATTTATCAGTGTTGAAGTCTCCTCATTCTTCCTTCTTTACTAGTGTATTCACCTCCCTCATACCCTTACTACTACTTCTCTTACCCCCTTACTTTCCCCCCTCACTCCAACTCACTCCCCTCACACTCCTCTTGAAACCCTCTACTACTCCTATCATGTTCCTCACTCCCTCTCTCCTCACCCCCTTCACCAGAATAACCACCCCCTCCCCCTTCCCCCTCAGGTCATGATGGTGGTGGCGGCTCTTGTGGTCATTCTGGGCACAGCTGAGGCGGCTCCTGGATTTGCTGGCGGCTATGGTGGCGGCTATGGTGGCGGCTATGGTGGCGGCTTCGGAGGAGGCCATGGTGGAGGCTATGGTGGCGGCTATGGTGGGGGTAATAATAATAATGATGATAATAATAATAATAATGATTCAAATATTTACATAAACAATCCATGAGGTTTCCGTGAAGCCTCCAACAAGCTGGAAACCTACACAACTTTGTCTCTCTTTTCAACAGGATATGGAAAGTAAACCTCGTCTACCTGTTCTCTCGCCACCTGTTGGAGGAGACCCACACCTGTTGGTCTCGATCCACACCTGCTGGACAAGACCCACACCTGTTAGTCTCGATTCACACCTGCTGGACAAGACCCACACCTGTTAGTCTCGATTCACACCTGCTGGACAAGACCCACACCTGCTGGTCTCGATCCTACACCTGTTGGTCTCGAGCCTACACCTGTTGGTCTCGATTCACACCTGTAGACTTAATTACCCTCCACTTAATTAGGATAATTTACCTGACCTAACTCTTTGACAAAAAAAAAGAAGGAAATTAGACGTTGGATGTAATAAATATATATTTTTTAATAAACCTTTACCGACAGTCAATACTTTATTACTTATCCCAGTAGAGAGAGAGAGAGAGAGAGAGAGAAAAAATACCTGTACATAAAAAAATAAACAGAATAATCCAAATGTTATTAATTTACTCTATATAAAACATTTAAACCTATAAACACATTTTACTGATGACATAAAAAAATAATAATGATTATCGACTTCACTCTAATAATCTTTACCCACTAATTATCTTCAATCATAAATGAGATTACTGAGATTACTGAGATTACTGAGATTAGTAAGGACGTAATCACCTGAGTCTTGATTAGTAGTGACGCCATCAACCTTATATACAATCACAATCACCTGACTTAATCAACAATAGGACTAATTGCCTTACCTGGCTTGACCAATATCACCTATAATTGTTGTGACGGAACACCTGTACCTGTACTTGCACCTGTATCTCTAACTATACCTGTTTATCTTATATGGTGTAAGAGCGTTCCCACTTTCTATTCCTACTTTTCATTCCTACTTCCAATTCCCACTTTCTATCCCATCTTTCATTTCCATTTTTTCATTCCAACTTTTCATTCCTACTCTCCATTCCTACTTTCTATTCCCATTATCATTTTCTTACTATTCCAGTAATAAAAACAACCAAAATCTCTTCCTCTCCTCTCCACCAACACCTCTCCCCCACACCAACACCTCTCCCCCACACCAACACCTCTCTCCCTCACCAACACCTCTCCCTCACCTCTCCACCAAACTAAACAACACAAAGTG